AATTAAAAAGTAAGCATCTAGATTATTGGCCAGGGGCCATTTCCTCTCCATCTTCGTCCTCGTCTTCATCATCATCAGACGGGGGTTCAGGCTCTCCCCCAGCAGCCCGATCAGCTTCCCGTTGCAGATCTCACTGAAATTTCTCAAATTGAGCTTGTATAATGTCATCCTGGGGAAGATCAGAAGCCTGAACCGGCCTCCCAAGATTGTTTTGAAGTTGAGCGACAAAGGGACGTAGCAGGACCTGGCCGATCTTGGCATAAAGATCTGCAACGATGGAGTCATTCCATTTCTTGGCCTCAGGATCCTTGTCCAAAAGAGCCACCCCTGCCGAGAGCCGACCAGCACCTCTAGGAAAACCCTTCAAGTACGCTCCAAAGGCGAACGAGATTTGCGTCCTTGCATGATCGTCCTTGATGATGGAGAATTCATCAGAGGATTTAAATGATTCCCGGACAGCGGATAGATCCACATTCACTTCATATGGGCCGTCCGGGATACTGGAGGGCATCTCCTCAAACTTGATCTGTGCGGCCTCGGCGGCGATGACCTTCGCTTGGGAGGCAGCAAGTTGGACCCGAAGGGTACCAAGCTCAGCATCCAGCCTTTGTTTTTCCTCCGCAAAAGCCTTTCGTTTGGCTTCCAGGGAGGTGATGGCAGCAACAGCGGTTTGCTCAGCAGAAGATTGAGCAACGATTAGTTCCCGTTCCTTGGCCAGACGGGCTTCCCGCATTTGCAGGGTGTACAAACCCCTTTATAAAGCACAGTTCGAGAGTTAGTACTGATTACAGAGTAAAATAAAAACAGAGCGCAAAAGATAATATACCTTCAGAGCAGTCAAGGCCAGGCATTCTTCAGATTGCTCGACCGGCAACTGGGGAAGGGAGAAATTGTTGAACCAGGAGGATGTCGACCAGATCTGGCTCGCGGTAGAACCAGCCTTTTCTAACACCTCGTGAACAGGATCCGCTAAAGAGATCCGCTCGACCTGACCAGTAATATGGTCGGTATGAGTCCCACCTACGTTCGAGGGTTCCCCCTGAACGGAGTCGAAGTGTTGGGAGAACTGATGCAGTTGATCAGAACCAAAGCGGTCATCGATCATCATGGCATCATAATGATCCTAACCGGAGAATTGCTGAATAGGCTCCGGTTGCTGAACGGTCGGTGCCGATTCGGATTGAGGAGCAGCAGTGGTGGGTGAATCAACTTTCGGATTCCTTTTCATCTTCTTCTTCCTTTTCCCGATCCCACCGGCAAGGAGCACACAGTTGTCATCCATAGTAGCGTCTGGATTGGGAGCTGAAAAATGACAAAGGGAAATGTTAGTACCGAGCGGCCTTTAGCATGAGAGAAACTAGTAATAAGAAGGGAACGTTTCTCGCACGGGAAGGACCGCCCGAACTATGGCACTTGATTCTCAAAACAAGTAAACCCAAGAGAACGGACAGTACCTATCCCGGCTTTAACCAGCCGATCGGGAGTCAAGTAGGTCATGATATCACAACACTTGTCCTTCTCCACAGCAAGAACGTCCTTATAAATTTCCTCAGTGAGAACTGGGTCGGGAGTCTTGCGGGGGAAGGCGTTCCATTTATGAGAGATCAACCCGTCCGGGATAGACACGAAGAAAAATCTATCTTTCCATCCCTTGATCGAGGTTGGATTGCCTTTGAATAAGATGTGGCCCGTTCGGGAACTAGCAGCTAGGTACCCGTGAGTTTGTTGAGGGGCTACTTTGAAAAATTGATGAAATAAATCTAAGGTCGGCGAAGCACCGACATCTTTACAACGACAGATGAAGCCCGCCATTTCCCGATAGGAGTTCGGCATGACTTGGGCAGGTACAATTTCATAAAAATTAAAAAATGAAATAAAAAAGGGGTGTAACGGGAATCTAAGTTCAGCCCTCACTGAATCGAAGTGGACCACGGTCATCCCAGGGGCGTGACGTAGGGGATGAAGCCCAGCGTGCAATCGGAAGTCCACTGGGTCTGGGATTAGGGCCGGGATTTCGGCCCTATTATTGGCGGTCAATTTCTGCCGTCTTGCCCTAATTAAACCTAAGTCGAGGGAATGACGGGGAACATCTTTTGGCCGTCCAGCCGCCATTAAGGCCATTTCGTCCTCAGATTTTGTGCCATCAGAACTTTCACCAGAGGAAGATGAAGTGCTAGGAAGGTCCTCCGCCTCAGCCCTGGTATTTGTCACCGTTTCAGTAGAACCACCGGTGAATGGGACTGTGATGACGTCCACAATAGCAGCGTCACGGTCATCTCCATGGGAGGCCATTTCCGAATCAGAAGAATGCTGTTTGGGACTCATCTCGGTCGAGCCAGAAATGAAGATAAGGAACAGAGGGAGGAAAGGTACCTGAGCGATGGAAGCTGGGAGAAAATTCAGAGGAATCAACAAGGCGCAGAGAATTGCAGAATCGAAACCCGGATTTGAGAAGTTAAAGGCTAATTTATAGCCTTGAAACCGCCGTGTCAAGAACCAATCAGGGAGCGACACGTCACTAGAAGCATTTAAGCTAAACGCGTGTCTAATGAAAAGACTAAACGAGGGTTACCATGATGAATATGGGGAATGAAGCGGCAGCCGTCAAATCGCAGCATGGGGAACTGATTACTTCTGTACCCCGATCGCCATTCGGAGTATTACAACATTGGTATTCATACTTCCTAATGCACTCACTATCGTTCGAGACATCGGAAGTGGGGGACTTGTGTTGGGATATTGATCCAGAGGCCCAATACCCGGATCAAGAAGGCCCAAGATACCCGGCCCAAGCAACGGGCCCATCACGCTATGATAAGATAATCAAGGTAGAATTAATGCCGAACGAGATTCGGCCCAAATAAGGGTTGGCCCAGTAAGAAGACATACCGAACGGAGTTCGGACTATATATTATACTTGGGCCAATTTGACAGCATCTTCAGCATAGCCCAACATCCCGTTCGAGCAACGGCCAACCGGCAAGTGGCCAGGTGCAATTAATGCCAGATTGTGACATCAGCAAGTGGAAACATGGGTGACCAAGTCGGTGGAACAACGACCAATCAGCATAGGGCAGCCCATGCTCTCCATTAGTATAAATAGAAGGTTTTAAGTCATTGTAAGGGTTAGCATTTCAATACTCAGACTCTAGAATAGCATCATTGCTCTTATTTCTTGTATTAAAGTATTGTTTCCGACCTACCGATCGGGAAATTCCTTGTAATCAGACTGGTTAATTAATACAAGTGGGCTTTCGAGTATTAGTGAGTTCATCTTTTATATTTTGTTTATACACTTTGATTCTGTGCCATTCCTGACATATCCAAAGTTCGTGTTGGGCTTTCGGATCTACGGGATTTACCCTCAACAAACCATTAATAAGCAAACCGAATCACTGACCACATATGAAATAAGAAGATTTTTGTCTTTCAAAGTCAAAACGTTATCCAAATTCGGAACAAAACGTAAGCAAAGATTCTCCTAATAAAGGTGAAATAAAAATTGAAATAGTCTCAGACTTGGCCTATAACTGTATTGATAGTTGCCCATTTTCATGTCTCCTTTCCGTTGTTATTTTAATTTTCTCCCCTTGAGAACATTAGATCAAAATTAAGATGTGACCTTCACCTACCTTATGTGAAGTTTTTGTTCTTGTACTATTCAACAAATTGATTATGTGAATGCTGTTTCGAGGATATGACATCACATATCCATTATCTTTCTCCCAAACTTGTATTACATCAAATTATATTCATTATCCATTATATTTTGTCAAACTAAATATCAAATATACAATTTATATTTCCTTAAAATGTATGTCAAACTCATCATCTAGACCTTAATGAGTAGTCCAACACAAATAGTACTTTTTAGGTAAAGTTTCTAAAGTATGATTAAAATCAATGTCGTTTCTCTATAAGTAGTCCAACATTTTTGCTCTAAATAAAAGTAAATTTGTGACATATTGTGCTATTATCAGACATTGACATGACATGACCAGTGTCCTAAAAGGCGGGAAAAGACGGGGTTTATGTGCATCTAGCCGTGAGGTGACAGAACCCCCCATAGTAGTAAGACGTGGAAAAGTAGATCAACTGAAAAGTTGGGTATCGAATGCGTGAAAATGCATAAGCCTCGACGCGGAAGGCAAGGCCTACGCGTGATAAGGTGGAAGTTGTTTAGATGAAATATTTTTTGCAATGAGAAAAAATCGATTAAAACATAAGAAATATACTTTTTATAAACATGTTAAAAAGTCAGGGGCGGACCGAGGAAGCTTTATGGCACTGTGGTAATGATGATCTAAGGTCAGGGCAGACCTAGGAAACTTACCTTGGGGGGTGGACTCAGTGACGTATCTAGAAAATTTTCATAGTAAAATATGAAAATTGGACTTGCCTTGGGGGGGCATGGACCGAAAAGCCTTAGGAATTGGATTTGCTTTCAAAATTTCAGAGTTTTGTTTAGAAGTATAAACAATCATAATCATTCATAGTAAATAGATCCATATAGACTATGTCTCATTTTTTAACTTTTGATTTCTATTTTTTATTTCATTCACTTTTACCATCAAGAAAATATTTAATTAAAATTTGAGAAAGCAAATTTTATAGCTTATTGCTTATATTTGGGGGAGGCCAAAATAATCCTTTGGGGGTGGCAATTTTATTTTTGAGGTATATATAATGAAACAAAATATTTTTCTTTGGTGGACGTGGCTCCCCTGGGTCTCTGGCTCTCTGCTACGGTCCGCCTCCATCTAAGGTGGTAATACTGTCATTTGAAATCTATTTATTCTCTTTTATCCATATTTAAATAAGATTTCATATTTATGTGCTAGAAAACTACTGCCTCTGCTCCTCAGACATTCAAATATGAGAAGGTGATGCGATTATTAAAAAAGAATAAAATAAAAAAAAATTAGAAACACTTAACAATTTTGACATGAAATATTCATAAGAGAAATGAGGGAGTATTCATAAAAAAGTCCTTGGTCTTATTTGAGTCAAATCTCTCCCCGTTAAGTCTCCTGAATGGCCGTATCTATGTCTGTGAGTCTGTCTACGGCTCATATCCACCGTAAACCACCAAAACCTCCATTAGCAACCCCTGAACCTTAGCCTAAAACCCTAAGCTTCGGTACTGTCTCCACACTCAACAGCTCCACCAGACCATTACCATTACTAAACGTTCTCCTTTCCGCATAATGAATGCTTGTAGCTGGAGTGTACATGGAGCGGATTAAGAAATCCATTGTTTTATATTCCATAAATTGCTTCATCGCTCGTCGAACCATGTTCGTTCTTTTCCATCGATTATTTCATATCAGACACAGAAGCAAATGTCACCGTGTAAGCCCAATTTCGTACAATTTCTTGATGTTTGTTAATGATTTTATTTGCTTTTCCCACTGCTCGCTGGCCAGAAGCACCAAATATAGTAATTCTGAGGGAGCTTTCTTGGATGCCCAAATGATAAAGAAAATTGTTCATGAAGGTAGGTGGGATGATTTTGGAAGATTGGGACTCTGTGACTCTGATTTAACTTCCACTTGGATCTCCAGAATCTTGGTGGAGCTAAGACAGGAACCTAAGCTAGCTCTTAACTTGTTTAATTGGGCAAAAGCACGGAGTTCATTTCATCATACCACAGAGAGTTATTGTCTGCTTGCTCACATTCTGTTCTGTTCAAGAATGTATAGTGATGCAAGCAATGTTCTAAAAGAACTGATCAGTTTGAACAGTGGAAATAAGGCAGTGTTACTTGACATCCTGTGGTCAACTAGAAATGTCTGTGTTCCAGGTTATGGAATTTTTGATTCCTTTTTCAGTGTATTAGTAGAACTGGGATTTCTAGACGATGCATCTAGGTGCTTTTTAAGGATGAGAAGTTTTAAGGTGTTTCCTAAAACACGATCTTGCAACCATCTTTTGGATAGACTTATAAAGGAAGGAAACCAAGTTATGTCCTGGAATATTTTTGAGGATATGATTGCTTCCGGACCTTCCCCGAACGTGTACACATATAATGTAATGATTGGTTATTTGTGCAAAGAAGGGAACTTGGATGCTGCAAGAAGATTATTTGTACAGATGAAAGGGAACAAGGTTAGTCCCGATATTGTTACATATAATTCTCTAATTGACGGGACTGGAAAGCTAGGGGAGCTTCACGAAATGATTTCTATATACGAGGAAATGAAGGAAGCTGGGTGTAGTCCTTGTGTAATAACATATAATACAATGATTAATTGCTTGTGTAAATATGACAAAATGGACAAGGCATTCAAATATTTGAATGAGATGAAGAGCAGTGGTATAAAACCCAACATAGTGACTTATAGCACATTTGTTGATGCTTTCTGCAAAGAAGGGATGCTGCAAGAAGCCTTTAAATTTTTTGTGGACATGAGGCGAGTTGGTCTGCTTCCCAATGAGTTCACTTATACATCCTTAATTGATGCAACCTTTAAAGCAAGGAAGATGGACGAAGTTCTGAAATTAGTCAAAGAGATGTTGGAAGTGGGACTCAAGCTCAACATAGTTACCTACACAGTATTACTAGATGGTCTTTGTGAAAAAGGGAGGCTTACAGAAGCTGAAGATGTTTTTAGAATATTATTAAAAGACGGGATAATCCCTAATGAAAAGTCTTTCACTGCTCTAGTGCATGGGTATATGAAATCAAAAAGATTGGAAGATGCTATGAATATTTTGGAAATGATGGAGGAAAATAATATCAGGCCGAACGAGTTACTCTATGGAACTGTTATATGGGGACTTTGCCAACAAGGGAAGTTTGAGGATGCAAAGATTTTTTTTGATGAAATGGAGGGGAAATGTATTGAAGCGTCTTCTGTGGTATTCACCACACTCATTGATGCTTTCTTTAAGGCCGGAAAGTCCATAGAAGCACACGACATGCTAAGTGAGATGCAAAAAAGAGATATTAGCCCTACCGTGGTGACATATTGTACATTAATTGATGGTTTGTGCAGTTTGGGTTTCGTACAGGAAGCAATTGATCATTTCAATAATATGCCAAACATTGGTTTGCGACCTAATCTGATGGTTTACACAGCACTTATAGATGGGCTCTGTAAAAATGCATGCCTAGAGGCTGCCAAAACATTTTTTAACGAAATGCTTCAGAAAGGTATACTTCCGGATAAAGCTACTTACACGTCTCTGATTGATGGAAACATGAAGCAGGGAAATGTGCAGGATGCCTTGTTTTTAAAGGAAAAAATGATTGAGAATGGTATTGAACTTGACCTTCTTGCTTACTCGTGTTTGATTCGGGGTCTTTCAAGGAATGGTCAAGTGGAACAAGCAAGATGTTTTCTTGGTGAGATGATTGAGAAGGGTATTCTTCCCGATTGTGTTATTTATCGGTGTCTAATAAGAAAATACTATGAACTTGGCAATACAGATGAAGCTCTTTTCTTGCAGAATGACATGGTGAAGAGGGGTTTTGAATAAGAGAAAGTCATTCTTCCAGAACGATATAGTGACAAATGCAATTTACAGCAATCACAATTCATAAGAGATTTTGCTGTTCAACTTCAAAATAGAGCCCTGAGAGTTAAAATTTGTCTCAGCGTTTTCATGTCAATTGGAAGAGTGGAACCCAAGAAGATGATATTGTTTCTCTATCCACACTTTGTGATCTTCAAAGCTGCGGTGAGTATTGCATCTCTGTTGCTGAAAGTTTAGGTCCTACTATGCCAATTTATTTTTCTTGACCTTCAAGACTTCGACATCTCTCTTTACTATTATGTTTTGAAACCTATGGTATATATTTGAATTTAATTTTGCATCTCATCTCAAGAAGGCAAGCTTCGTGCTTTTGAAGGCTCTATTTTGGGATCAAAATAGTTTACCAGGATATAATTATTCCGTATTATTTTTCTGTCAATGGTTAAAGATGGCTAGGAAATTGCTCAGATCAGTATAAAAGTCCCACCCTTATAACTGTTTGTTTTATAAATGCACAGGTAATGTCAACTTACCCACATGCAATGAGGATAGTTTTAGGTGACAACTCTCATTGACCTGTGAATGAATCAAGTCTTGTGTGAATGAATCAAGCTGTGCTTGCAGCTTGCTGTTATGGCTATGTAATCATCATGTTAAGGTAGAAGGTACAAGACTAGTCCATGGACTGATAGAACTCAGCGGAAGGTGAGCAAGAGTGATTCCTAGAATGGTAGAGGATTCACTCCACTACTAATAACATTCATTCTGCATGTTGATCACTTGTATTTTTTTGTGACCGTTTTTCTTCTGTGTACAGGGAGTGCAGTTTTAGCTTTTGAGAAGTCAGGCAGTCCGAGAATAATGATTACAGAATGGAACTGCCTGTTTCATTTCTATTGACAACGGCCACATATATGCAATTAGTTTGATCTTTTAGGTATAAGTTCTTCAAATAGCACATTTTGACCCCTCCATGCCCGTCCTTACTCTTCGTTTGCTTATGTAGTTGCACAGGTACACACTTGAAATTCAATAGAATTTTCCAATGCTGCAGAGGGGTACATGTCTTGTTGATGTACATCTTTGCTTGTGGTGATTTTTTAATTATTACAGAACCCACCACTTGTGGGGCTAATTTGATGACCCTCCTCCACACAAGGGCGCTCCCTCATCCCCACTGCCCTTGCCCTAGGCATGGTTTGATGAGGCATATCACAAGAGTGGAGCTCAAAGACCGTCAAACTTTTCATATCCACCCTCGATCAACCGGGGCAAACAAGCGTGCTGCGTATCACTACTTGCAGACATGAAGATGGGAATGTGAGCCACACAAAACTTTCCAAAAAGGGAAATGAGAACTATTTGCTGGGACGGTCCAAAAACGAAACCGAGAACTATTTTGCAGGACGGAGGGAGTAATAAGTTAAGAAGCTTTGTAAAAAACATGTATTTAATGATAATTCCAATAAATGATAATAATTCTTTTATACTACGTATGTATTTAATGAACTTTTGTATGTATTTACATATGCCTATTGCATAGGGCCTGTTTACTTTTGACTTAATGGGCTTAATAGAAACTCTGACTCATTCGTTCAACTATATGTTCATGTTTACTTATGACTTAATATAAAATGTGACTTATTCGCCCAGATCTTTTCTGACTTATTCATTCACCTGGTTTTTAGTTGTTCTTACGATACATACATCCATTTTATCGGAGTTTCCCTTTTGACCCTGGCTTCTCCGCACTCGCTCTTCACATTAATCGCCTACACCAACCTTCCTAGCCGATACCTGCCTTCTTCTTCACCTGATTTCAGCGCCGACCATCACATGTCTTCTTCTCCACCCCTTCATCGTTGATTCCCTGGAACGCATCTGGCACCAGGTTCACGGGGAAATGGTCTCCTCAAACGGATTAAGCTGGTTGGATTCTTGATTTTCTGGGTGGTTCACTGGTCGATATTCATCCCTATGCCTACCTGTGCGGTTGAAAGGTTGATTAGCGGTCAAAAACCCATGGAAACGAGCGGAAGGAAAATGAGGTTACTGTTCATGTCTGACTTGATTTTTGCTTAGTGCGTTGATTTTGATGATTGTTTTCTGCAATTGGATAATGGTTTGGCGTTCTTCGCCCTAGGTCGCTTGTTCTCAGTGATAATTACCAGGTCCAGGTTTGCTTCCCTAGAAGACATGGATGTTGATTTCCCAATTTTGAACTCTGCAAATGTAACTTGCAATTCAAATTAGTGTCCGAGTTGATGAGTATGTTTGCTGATTGTTTACTTAGTTTCTAGAAAATGTAACTTGCAATTCAAATTAGTGAAGTCTTATATTATCTGACTTTTAGATCAATAAGTTGAGTGTTCTGCTAATAATATTGTTGCTGGTTTTTAATCTGTCCATTGCAAACTTACATAAAGAGTAGTATTTCCATTGTATCAGTATGGTTCAAGAGCCATTACATAAAGCAAATACAATCGAGATTTACTACACTTTTGTTAATTAGTGAAAGAGATACTTTAGGATTGAGAAGCCCAATGAAAACAGTTCCTGTAATTCAAGGAAATTGCACACAGTTGGGCTAGAAAAAGTAGGAGCACACAAACCAATTCATTTTAGGTATTAACAGTTAAATTCAAGAGCCCGTGATACAGAGCATAGGACATATCACCTCATTTTTTTTCTCCGGAAACCTTAACCTTAAGCTAATGAAATAGGAAACCTTAACCTTAAGCTAATGGAAATAGGAAACCATAGTACTTATAAAACTAGAATGACCAGATTTCAAAATGATGTACTCTTTATTAGGCATAGAAATTATATAGTATTTCAAAACAATCGATGTAAACAGATAATATACATTTAACACTTGTTCTAGACAAAAGGATTATTTGGTCATTTAACATAATTCTGACTTCTCATTCAGCACACATAGTAAACAACTTGTTATCTCAGTGTCACTTAATCCAGACAGACGTCTTAATTCATACGGACGTCTTAATCCATTCAGGATTTAATGAAAAATGTAAACATCCCTTAGTGTGTTAATCCTATGGGTATGTTTGACACAATTAGCTTAAAAGATACTTTTGTGAGGTTTTTAGTAACTGTTAGCTTTTAGTGACTCAAAAGATCTTAAAAGGAAAAGGTGGTAGCTCTTTGATAAAAAGCTGACTGTTTGATTTAGTTCTGTTAAGTATACACGCTGTTGGGATTAATTAATATTAAAAGCCACAGACTTTTCTCAAATGCTACTCCCTCTTAGGGGAGAGCAAACCCGACCCTACTCGATTGATCTGATCGGATATATCCGATTTTTTTGTTGGGGTCGGAAAACCCGACCTGAGATACCCAAACCCGATCCAATTTTTGCAACCCGAGACTTAAGCGGGTAGCGGGTAGGGTTACCAATTATGCTATCTGACCCGTCCGAAAAACCGAACTAGCATAGTATGTATACTACTTCAAATTATTATGCATATTCAAATATTTCAATTATTATATGTCAATTAGCATATTATGCATGTTCAAATATCCCAATTACCGTATTAGTACAACTATAACTTTGAATGTTGTATTGTTATGATTTTGAATGATATTTTGACCAATTATCATTTTATTTATCACAATATCAATTATGTCAATCACCGTATATTATTATTTTACATGTTCAAATATGTCGATTACCGTATTTATACAACTATTACTTTGAATGATATACTAGTATAACTTTGAATGATATTTTTACCAATTACCATTTTATTTATCACAATTTCAACAATAATAAATTAAAATCCGAATGGACCCGAAACCCGAATCAACCCGACCGCAACCCGAATTTCTTCAACATGAAAAAACCGATAAATTTTTTGATAGGGTAGAGTTTGAAATTATCAATCCTATACCCAAACGAGTTTATCATTTTTGACCCCGACTCGCCTGAACCCGACCCGTGCTCTGCCCTACTCCCTCTAGCATCTCAAAAACAGATCTTTTATTTTTTAAAAGGCTCTTAAAAATTGTGATAGCAAATATATTCATTTTGTCATTTGCGGGATAGCCCTGGTGGTGGTTTCAAATCCAAAACCGCAGTTCATATTCGGGTTTGGAGGGAGACCGGACTCTACGAGTTTGACCCGAAAAAAATCCTATCCTTATCCTCCATGACACTGATTATCCGGCCTGCGGGGAGAGAGCATCGCTCTGACTAACAAAAAAATGTCTTCCTCTTGGCCTCTATTTTCTCCAGTCAATTTCAGCCTACTTTCTCCAACAAAGCTCACTAAACTCCATCACAGACCAGTCGTCTCCGCCGTTCCGCCGCTTTCCACCTCCTCCGACGTTTCTTCCGTTACCGCAGCCTTCGATGGTACCACAATTGCCTTCGTCGGCGGAGGCTCCGCGGCTGCTCTGGCAGCCCTGCTTTCTCTGGCAGACCCCGAGAGGCGGCGGCAGATTCAGGCTGAAGAGGTCGGCGGCGGAGACAAGGAGGTGGTGAAGGAGTACTTTAACAACGACGGGTTCCATAGGTGGAAGAGGATATATGGAGTGGGCGACGACGTGAATAAGGTCCAGCTGGATATCAGATGGGGGCACTCGAAAACCGTAGAGAATGTGATGAAGATGTTGACCGACGAGGGTTTTCTGAGGGGAGTAACCGTCTGCGACGCAGGATGTGGGACCGGGTGTCTGTCGATTCCATTGGCCAAAGAAGGCGCCATTGTATCGGCGAGTGATATTTCAGCTGCTATGGTTTCTGAAGCCAAGGAAAAGGTAAATGTAGCATTCGTTTTGAACTCCTAACTGGTTATCCCGTCTAATCTAATTCTATAAGCAGTAGTCTTCACTTGAGATGTGGAGAAGTTGCTCTTCTTCCCCCCTTTTTACCTCTCCCAAGTTTTTTGAATTATCTGTAGCTAAGTAGCTAACCCAACTAGATTGGTGTTGACTCAGTTAAGTTCCTTACACGCTGTGTATAGCTGCCAACTGTATGCTTTCTAGAATGTTAGCATTGTGGAATTAGAATGGGCATAGCCTACTCTGATGAGATTAGGATTAAAATGTAGCCCTGTTCAATTATAGGTGTACAATTACAGTTTTGAAGTTAATAAACAAATGGTTGCGGTTTAAGTAATTGTGCAAAGTGCATTTGCCATCACTTGATTGTTTCCACAGATTTGTTGTCTAATAGGTGCACATTACTTCTCTGACTTGACATGATTATTAGGATAGTAAAATTTTGTTGTTGACATTATTTGGAAAAGATAGAAAGATCAACCACAATTAATTTCCTTGAACGGAATTTGGAAGATGTTTTGCCTATCTAAAAAATACAATGAAAGAAAACTTTAGTATAAAGGGAATTTAAGCAACCAAAATACTAAGGAGTATGTTTCAATGTCAGGATTGTAATAGCTTTCTTACTTCAATGAGATTGGGAATGGTATAGTTAGGTCGAATTACAGTGATACAAGTACATACTCTCTAAGGCATCGTTTGTTTTCTGGGAAATATTTTCGCAATCATAAAGTTTTCTAGTTCCATATTTTCACGATCATAATGTTTTTTAGATCCATATATCGGGAAAACAAAAAACATTTCCACAGAAATACTTCAAGAAAAACATAATTTGAAGAAGTACTTGTGATTAGCACAGGAATAAAAATACTTTATTCTTGCTGTTTTTAGACACTTTGTATAAATGACTTCCTGCTCTGAAAAGGGAATGTTTTTTCCTAAAAGAATTTTATGTTTTCTATTTTGTGGGTCAAACATTTTATTAGACACAGACCAACTTTTTTTCAAGAAAAACACATTTTTTCAGGATCATATTTTATAGGAAACAAACGGACCCTAAGCTAACAAAAATCAGTTATGAGTTAAGGAGTTGTACAATTGCATTTGCTATTACCTAGCTTTGTTTTCTTTATGGAATAACCCAAGAAATGGGAATGTCAAAATTTTCTTTTGACATTATAAACTGTCAGGCTGAAGAAGAACTTTCAAAGAGAAGAGACGGTGATAAGCTCCCAACAATGGTGATGCCCAAGTTTGCAGTAAAGGATTTGGAAAGTCTAGAGGGGAAGTACGATACTGTTGTGTGCCTGGATGTGTTGATACATTACCCACAGAGCAAGGCAGATGCAATGATAGCTCATCTTGCATCTTTGGCTGAGAATCGCTTAGTTCTAAGCTTTGCTCCAAAAACATATTATTATGAGATCTTGAAGAGAATAGGTGAGTTCTTCCCTGGGCCTTCAAAGGCTACAAGGGCGTATTTGCATGCTGAAACTGATGTAGAGCAGGCTTTGGCAAAGGTGGGGTGGAAGATAAGGAAGAGAGATTTAATTACAACGCGATTTTACTTCGCACGGCTTGTTGAGGCTGTCCCTGCTGGTTAGGTTATTATTAGGAGCGCAATGACAGGTCACAGGTCCTAATATCAAATTATGTTTTTAATTATGCCCTTTCCTTAATCTCTCTAAGATATGGTCATTATCAAATACGGAATATCAATTGTGCTGGGATGATCTAATAGAACTGTAAATTACAGGATCTGCAGAGTCCATTGTAGATGAGACGATTTTGTGAGAAGTATATTCCGTTTTTTAATCTGTGGAATTGGAGCAGGCAGGAAGAAATGTAATGTGTAAAATGATGTGAGATTATGTTGTCCATGACCTTCTCGGTATCTCTACTGTTTAATGTGATAGTACTAAGATTTGAATCAATTAAAGCTTGGATCGGACCAATGTGAACAATTTCTGTGTTTAAAAACGGTATGGGGTGATGATGATGATAAAAACGGTTTTACGTTCTTGATTTCCAGTTTCCACAATCCAAGTTAGGCATGGATTCGGGCCGGGTCAGGCCTAGGCCCGGTCGGGCTGCTGGTTTGTGAATGGTGGGCCCGGGATCGGCCTGAGGTACAGGCGGTTCTGGTTCGGGCTGGGCCACCCGCCCGGGTCACGGGTCGGGCTACCCGCCGGGCCGGGCCGGTTAAATCCGTTTTTTTTATAATTTATACTTTATAGTTTTATACAAGTATTAAAAACAAACTACAAGTGCGTTTATTTGAAATGAAACAGGAACTACATTTGACAATTAAGAAAAAAATACAATATGAAATTAAAATTGAGAATTGAAGGTAAAATTAAAACATGAAATACTAATCAATCGGAATCTCCGTAATAGGTAGAGCCACTTTCAGTTGTAGATTCATCCATAAAGTGTTGGGATGAGGTGATGTCAATTTCTTGAGCTCTACAGGTCGCTTTCAACCAATCGTGGTAGCATATAAGCATCTCAAGAGATTCTGCGCTCAACCTCGTTCTAGATTGCGTTAGGACATTGCCGGCCGAACTGAATTCTTGTTCGATGGCAACCGTTGAAATCGGCATTGATAGCACTTGCTTAGACATCTTTGCTAAAACCGGGAACATTCTTTCTTTTATCTTTCACCAGTTTAGAACGTCAAAGTTATCATCTTCTTCAAAATCAACATCATATGTTAAATACAAAGAAATCTCATTAATTGTGCTTTGTTGAGTAGCGGGTAGGGATGGATTCGGGCCGGGTCGGGCCCGGGCCGGGCCTAGGCCCGGTCGGGCCGCCGATTCGTATCAGATGGGCCCGGGATCGGCCCGAGGGTTGGACGGATCCGGTTCGGGCCGGGCCACCCGCCCGGGTCACGGGTCGAGCCACCCGCCGGGCCGGGCCGGGCCGGTTAATTTTTTTTATTTTATTTATATTTTATACTTTATAGTTTTATACAAGTATTAAAAAACAAACTTCAAGTGCATTTATTTGAAATGAAATAGGAACTACATTTGAAAATTAAATAGGAACTATAATTGTTTTTAATCGGAATCTCCGGCATAGGTAGAGCCACCCTCTGTAGATTCATCCATAAAGTGTTGGGATGGAGTGATGTCAATTTCTTGAGCTCTACGTGCTGCTTTCAACCAATCGTGGTAGCATATAAGCATCTCAAGAGATTCAACGCTCAACCTCGTTCTGGTTTGTGTTAGAACATTGCCGTCCGAACTAAATTCTTGTTCCACGGCAACCGTTGAAACCGGCATTGATAGCACTTGCTTAGCCATCTTTGCTAAAACCGGGAACATTCTTTCTTTTCCCTTCCACCAGTTTAGTACATCAAAATCATCATCTTCTTCAAAATCAACATCATAAGTTAAATACAAAGAAATCTCATTAATTGTGCTTTGTTGTGTAACGGGAGTTGATTTTGTTTTTTTAATAAGATTGGCAAACGTAGATTTGAAAATTGATTTTCCTTTAGATGATGTTTGTGTCGGGGGAGGGGGCACATTGCCATATTGTGCATGAAACTCATTGAATAATGCATAAAATATATCACTAACCTCGTTGTATTCTTTTTTCGGATCAATTGGGTTGTCCTCATACATTGGCAATGGACAAAAAAAAGCAGCATAATAATAATTCAAACATTCTTCTAAAGAACCAAGTCTAAAACGAGGATCGAGAACAAATGCAATACCATAAATATGCGGAATATGTGAATAATATTTTAAAAACTTTTCCTTCATAAAACCAGCAAAATAACTCACATAATCAGCATTCTCAAAATTTGAAAAAGCACCGGCGAGATTAACAGCTTCACGAATAAATTGGTTTGAGGTAGGTTTATAAACATGACTAAAAGTTTCAGTTGAATTATTAAAATATATCAAAGCATTACAAATTTTTTCACAGGTGTCGATCTCAGCTGAGTTTATAATATAGTTATCATATTGTTTCATAAAAGAAGGAAAATGTTGTTTATAAATTGGAGAAGAGATATGAAAAAATGTTTAAGATTAGGAGTATTTATAGGTTTTTTTACCCCCCACCCCACCACCCCCCACCAGCCAACCCCCCCGGACCCCCCTTTACCCCACCCAACGGCTATATAGCCGTTTGGGTTGTCCCCACCCCCCACCCCCAACGGCTAGTAGCCCAAGCATTTTTTTTAAATTGAACCGGACCCGGGCCCGGGTCACAATAATCCAGCACCGAGCCCGCCCCGCCCCTGCCCCCCGGTTCGGGTCCATACCCGGTCCCAGACCGCCCGACCGGGCCGGTCCCGGGCCCGCACAGTACCGGGCCGGGCCGGGTCATGGGCCGGGTGGCCCGAACCGAATCCAACCCTGGTAGCGGGTGTTGTTTTAATTTTTTAATAAGATTGACAAATATAGATTTTAAAATTGATTTTCCTTTAATGAAGAGGTTTGTGTCGGGGACGGGGCGCGTTGCCATATTGTGCATGAAACTCATTAAATAATGCATAAAATATATCACTAAACTCGTTGTATTCTTTTTTCAGATCAATTGGATTGTCGTCATACATTGACATTGGACCAAAAAAGCACCATAATAATAATTCAAACATTCTTCTAAAGAATCAAGTCTAAAACGAGGATCGAGAACAAATGCAATACCATAAATATGCGGAATATATGAATAATATTTAAAAAACTTTTCCTTCATAAAACCAACAAAATAACTCACATAATCGGCATTCTAAAAATTTGAAAAAGCACCGGCGAGATTAACAACTTCACGAATAAATTGGTTTGTGTTAGGTTTATAAACATGACTAAAAGTTTTAGTTGCATTATTAAAATATACCAAAGCATTACAATTTTTTTCGCAGGTGTCGATCTCAGGCGAGTTTATAATATAGTTATCATATTGTTTCATAAAGGCAGGAAAATGTTATTTATATCTAAGAAGAACTGCAATTAACTTATCAAATAGTCATACCATTTTTTTCTAAGTTGACCATTACACCAAATACGTCTAATCCCCCCATTGACTACCTCCAAAAATGTTCCTAACGCTTTTAGACCATCTTGCACACATAAATTAATAACATGACATGCACATCGTTGATGAAAAATCTACTCATCAAAGAAGTAGAATCACACAATTCACGCAATCTATGAATAGCAGCAGTATTATTAGTAGCATTATCAAAACCAATAGCAAACACCTTATCAATTAAATTATACTCAATTAAAATACGCTCAATCAAAATATAAATATGTTCAGCGGTGTGATGATCATTAAATTCACGAAAAGCAAGAACACGTTTATGCATATTCCAATCATTATCAATATAATGTACAGTCAGACCCAAATAATATAAATTATGATAAGTATCGTCCCATATGTCAGAACATACAATAACACGCCCATCAAAGTTTGCAAAATAATTTTGTAACCATACCTTTTCCGCACCATAGAACCTTGAAATTTCTTTATTAACTGTTTTGCGACTATAACCTCTATATTGAGGATTTAAACAAGTTTGTGCATAATCACGAAAATCAAGACTTTCAGAAAACAAATAAGGCAAATTTTCTTCAACAAGTAAGTTAGCCATACCTGTCAAATTTTGTGCATCATTGTATGAGAAATTACCAAAAGGTTGTTGATTATTTGCAAATCTCGATATTTGAGTTTGCTTCCCCGTGGCGGATCCGTATTTGCAAATTTTGCATACTCCATCGAGTGTTTGGACTTAAGATGCCTTGTGGCGGATCCGTATCCGCCAGAAATCCCCAAGCTATAATTTTTCTTGCACCACTTGCAAGTTGCGTTCCAATTCCCGATGTTCGGGTCCTTCCACTTATCAAAATTATTTTGCATTAGTTCAGATCTACTTTTTTTCGTACCTGTTTGGGATGAGGCAGGCTCGTCGGCGTCGTGGCTGCCACCACCCTCCTTTGCGTCGCCGTCGTAGCTCTCTGGAATTACTTCCTCCACATCGTCGTCTTCGAGCCCTTCTTCGTCAATGGTCCTCGTCTGGTCTTGGAAAAACCGACTATTATGTCGGTGCAATTCTTGTTCTAGTTGTTCGTCGGTCATGACATCCCCATCCCTCCTTGCGTAACCTGTATCAAAATCATTTCGGCTTTGAGATGAAGAGCCGATATGTGATTTACCTTTGCGGGATTTCTTCCTCGCAAGCTCGTTCGTTCAGTTGCGCTCGAGGTTACCCATATCAACCGAATATCTACCACCTTCCATCTTAAAAGTGTAACAAATATTAATTTATAAAAACAATTCGAACTAATGAAATAAAATTCTAACAATTCTAACTAAGTAGATATAAATTGTAATATGTATGTATTTAGTAGATATAAGTAGATAATAAGTAGAGATTAAGTAGATAACAAATATAAGTAATATAATATATGTATTTATAAATAGATAATTAATATATAACTATATCAGTAGATAAGAAATATAAGTAATATAATATATGTATTTCTAAGTAGATAAATAATATAAGTAGATATATAATATATTGGAGAATAAGAGAATTTGAGAAGATGAAGATAATTAGAGAGTACAGAGTAGGATTTAGGAAGAGTTGAAGAAGAGATACGGAAAAATGTTTAAGATTAGAAGTATTTATAATTTTTTTTTTACCCCACCCCCAAACCGCCCGGACCCCCTTCCAGCCTACCCAACGGCTCTGTAGCCGTTTGGGTAGTCCCCAGCCCACCCCCAACGGCTATTTGTGGCCCAAACAATTTTTTTTTTTAAATTTGACCGTTGGAGACCCGGACCCGGGCCGGGTCACCTTTTCCCTGAACCGAGCCCGCCCCGCCTTTCCCCCCCGGTTCGGGTCTACACCTGGTCCTGGACCGCCAGACCGGGCCGGTCCCGGGCCCGCACAGTAGTGGGCCGGCCGGGTCACGGGCCGGGTGGCCCGAACCGAATCCAAGCCTAATCCAAGTGGAGGCTTTTCTAAACAAAGTTGTAAACTTGGTTCGAGCAGTTTAAGATTATTAGACACAAAAATACTTGGAAAGTACTGCTTCAATGAAGACTAGGGAAGTAGGGATGGACTTGGGCCGGGTTAACCGGAACCGGCCCGAATCGGCACTGTTCCGGCCCGAACCGGCCCAGTCCACGGTCCTATGATTGGTTCGGGCCACCCGGCTCGACACTGTAGAGGGGCGGTTCCCGGGCCTTGCATTTGATGAACCGGCCCGGCTAGTTCAGGCCCGGTTCAGGCCAATTTGTTTTTTCACATTTTTTAAAAGGTAAATGGGTTGGGCTGGGTGTTTTGGAGGGGTTTGGGGTTTGGAGGGTGAGAACTGGGAAGTAATTAGAAAATAAAATAAATAGGGTGAACCGACCCGGCCCGGTAACTCTCGGGTGAACCGGCCCAACCCTGGCCCGGAGCTACCCAGGCCGGTTTCCGGGTCTCACTTATCCAAAAAAAAAAGCTCGATCGGAACCGGACCAAGGCCTGGCCCCGCCCGAACTGAGACCATGCCTAATGAAGACTAGTTCTTGATCTGGTGTATTATGGACCATGATCGAGAAAAAATATATGACATCCTACTATCCTAGAGTTGGCCTGGTACGAATTAAACTCTGAAACTAATAAAGAATGAGCCTATTTGTGTCGCAAATTTTGAACATTCAGCATTTCTTTCACAACTTGACTTGACTTGATGATACCTCGCAGAAAATAACTTTCTTGTAAAATGACAGAGTACTGGACTACTGGTCATTCTTATGTAGGCACTTGTAACTTCATGGAAAAAGGTATATATCAACCTTCATGTTTCTTAACTAAATGAAAAATTTTCATTCGTTCAGGAATGTACAATATCAAACTTATCATCACCTCTTATTTAGAGAAACATTCAAATTTTTCCGGCCCAAATTAAAAGTAATCCTACTGAAAACTTTATCTCAAAACATATTTCGATACAGGTTTAATGCACAAAATCCCATCATGGTATATGAATTTATGCCTTAGCCTCGTATGATTTGAAAAATACGTTAAACCCCATGGTTTTATAAATTTATAATTATCCATACACATGCTCTCTTCAAAGTATAAATTTAAATAATTTTTGAATAAAAGAAAAGTCATTAAAAATTTTGTATAATTTAGATTGCACATAATTATTTCAAAATCTAATTAATCTTAACAAATTTACTTGCACATAATCATTTCTAAATTGCTAAAGTTGTTGACTTAGAGTGTTATTTGCATGATTAATTATAACAAAAGGAGTTTGACACATTTTTTAAATCACAAAGAACTAATGTGCGGAATTTGTATATCACGAGTGAGTTTGGAGCATTAAACTCATCCGATACTGTTGACCTATGTTCAATGTAAATAACTTGTTAGTTCCATGACTGTCTGATCTAGTAGCTTTTGGGCTCAAGTCTTGAAATTTTAAGCAGTGGACCTATGCTATTTCCTCAGATATATGTTTTTAAAAAAATCTCGACCTATAATATGTCACCAACCCCAGGCTTAGGATAAATAGAGCACCTTTCAGGAATATTACAATCAATGAAGTGGCATTGTGGAACACGGGGTTATCAGTGAAGCTAAGAGATCAGATGTACTACACAATATCCATCCAGCAAAGAGTTAGTTCATCTGCAGCAACCCTGTCTAGCTATTTTGTTCTTTTCCTACTCTTCCTCTCGGTTTGGGGTTCTTTCGCTTTCAAGTCATCACGGAAGGATCTCAATGTGGCAGCAAGGTGCTTGTTTCGATGTGCTGTGAAAGGAACACAGAAATATTGTGGTCATGATTGTTATTAGTAGAGAAGTATTGAGTTAATGAAAACGGCGAGTAACAATGAGAAATTTCAGCCTTAATCCACCCTCATTTCATGAAATTTAAAAATTTAGGGTAAAGCTCAAGCAAGCAGCGTCATCCACTCACTTGAAAGTATGACATCTTCCATATTAACTGACTTGCGGCCAGCATGCTGTGCAAATAACTCAAGATCCTTCGCCAACTGTTCTGCACCCCAGGAAAAGCAAGTTAATATCTGAGTCAGTGAGTGCCAACCTTAAACTCTCAATATGTTTATTATGTGCTACAGTGTTAAGAACAGTAAGAGAGCATACACTTAAAAAGAAAATTCATAATGAGTTCAACAGTAAAACTATGAAAAGCAGCAAGAAAATGCAAAATTTGAACTCGACCAAGTATTTTTCCCCCAAAATGCAATGGCCACAGCTAGTTATCACCCAGTATGTGTTTATGCAGTTGCAGAATTTTCAAAATTGGCTATTTTTCAGGGAACAAAAATATAACTAGGAGCACGTGTTCAAATCGATCAGGTATTGAGAATTTGACTTCATATGGTTATCTGATGCAAAACAGAAAGGGCATTCGTGTTTAAGACATCCACACAATGGGAAGCATGCTATGTTAACCAGTATCTGTAGTGTAGCAAGAACTTTATTAACATAACAGACTATCAAAAGTTTTATTATATATCTGTAGTAAATTTGACATTTATTAAGAGTTAATACTAGGGGCTCCATCCATAATATGAAAAATAAAACATAACAAGAAGAATAATGCACAATCTTATATGTTGGATTAGTATTTTTATATTTAACCGATGTGCTACAATCACTTCAACACACCTTCGTTTAAACCGGACTGAGCACGTCCACTAGCACGTCTACTCTGTCTAAACTGGGAGAGGTGAGATATAGGTCAAATCGATCCTAAACGGACTAATTTATCGTCATGGAGACTGACGAATAGTTGCTTATGCAAAATTTTCAAGCTGTTGCAAAATTTAACAGCATTAACAATAACTACAAATTCTATTTCATGCAAATACGAATCATGATGGAGAATGATGCCTAATTAAATGCGCCTTCACGTGTCTTCTACTTTGTTGCAAAATTTTCAAGCTCCATTTGATAATCATCTAAATGAAACAGGTGACTAAATAATCTGTTATGAAATAACATGTATTATGGGGTTTCATCTGATTTTCAGCCATTATAAAAAAACAGTCCTTAAACCACGTATATTATCAATGTATAATCTATTACAATCTCTCAAATTAAAACAAAGAAAATGATGTCTTTGATGCATGATGATGTGAGCACTGTAGATGCATATGTTCTGGATGGTTACCTACCGGTGTATTTGAAGGCTATATCGGCGATGCAAGCCACAATTGGTTGAGAAATTTCCATACCATTTCGCTTCGCTAATCAAACATCGCAACTTAATTAGACTTTATTCCGGTAAAATAACAAATCGTGAACTTCGCATATAGAAGCTACATCCGGTGTGCATGAAGAACATTAGGTTTTTAATGAAATACCCACCTTCGGCTTCGGCAATGGAGATAGTGCAGAGCCGAAATTGTTGGCAAAGGCGCTCTCTAGCTTCCGCGGCGGCTTCATCGTCCTCTCTCTCTTCCCCGCTAGACATAGCTACGTCTTCCCACCCTCCTTCCATCTACTAGTCCTCTACGCTGTCCGTTAATCTTCAGCTATGTCCAGATATTTTTCGGCGGCATTCGATTCACCCATATCACTAATTTATCGGCATTCTTTTTACTTAATTATTAGACACTTCAATTTAGGTACGTTTTGTTCTAGTTTCACCTTTTTTTTGTTAAGTTTTTAATTTTTCTGTTTCAAGCTTTCGATTCATCATTAGTTTTTGGTTTTGGCCAATTTTTGTTTGCTTTTGAGCTTTGGCAGTGAATAAGAATCTAAGAGCTTCTTATTTTTCTTTTAGATTTTTTTTGTTGAACTAAAGTAATGTAATATTAATTTCATATTAAGATTAGCATGAATCAGAATAATAAGTTTCAATATTGAGGAGGAGGCATTCTAAGGATTATGTGCAATGGTATGTATCCTTTCTTTCTAGTATGTGAAATTTAATTTGGGGAAGCAGCTAATATTTGGTGTTTCATCAACTTGCGGGTCAGAGCAAATCTGTCACGGGCTTTGAGCGCAATGGTATTCACTATTCATTTGTAAAGCCATTTCAAGTTGACAAGTTATGTGCAATGGTATGTTTCATTTGTGATTCTAGCCCAATGCTATTCCTTATAAGTACTTTGTGATGCTGCTTTTCTCATGTTTTTTTGCTTTCAACATGATTAAAAGCATCCAGATCATTATATTTGAGGAACTGACTAACTTTTTCCATTTTAAATTGAAGATCATAACAGGAAGTTTTACCATTAATGTTTAAATTTTTGGAAAGTACGTGAAAGTTAGACATAATAGGAACCTTCATTAAACCTTTTTAAATTTTTCACGAATTTTAGTTGACTTTTATATATAGATAGGGATGTTTTTATCATGGCAAGGGATTGCAAATCTGCAGAGGGAGGAGGATGAATGTTTTGTAGAATTGCAGATTTCAGTATTCCACCCTTGCACTAGATCAAGCTTGTAAGTTTATCTACTTTATGTCTTATGATTCTTCTTAGGTTGTTGAGAAAAATATTTACACTATCTTGCAATCTGCAAAATGAAGCCTTCAAATTGAAATTGGAAATTATTAAGACGCAAATACACATTTTAGTCACATGTATCATTCATATAATCTTAATCACTACCTTATGTTTTGTTTGATTTATTGATTGTTCATTGCTAGTAATATGATGTGCGCTTATGTGATGTTGTGCAGGTTTCGGGAAGTGAAGTTCGACTAATATTAAAGCAGTTTGAGTACAGAAAGATTAAACAGCCGCATTGCTATTACTTGCTTCCTTTTTCAGTTCATTTGTAAATGTACCAAAAACAAGTTTATTTATATCTTTTTTAACATTGTTATATTATAAATTTATAATTGAAGTTCTTGTATTAATGTAGGGAGTAAATCTAAATATTTATTCATCGGATACCATAATATGTTACTTTTATTTTTATTTTTGTTTCTTTTTGTTTCATCGTGTAGCTTTTTGTTGCATCTCATGTGTTGCTTTTTGTAATATCATGTTGCTTTTTGTTTAATATTTTGAACTTTTAGTTTTTGTTTTTGTTTTTTCATGTTTACGTATATTTCAATTTTTAGTTTTGTTTTTGGTCTACCATAACTCTATAAATATGTGTGTTTGTAGATGCCACAAGCACCTTGAATATATTAAATTTTATTTATGAAAATCAATAACAATAAGAAACAAGAATAAACAATGAGAAACAAAAGATTTAAAGTAATCAACAACAATAAACACAAAGAAACAATATGAAACAAAAAGTAACAATGAAATTATAATACCGATAATTGAGTTCCGTAGCTATTTAAAAAGGAAAATATTAAATTAAAAAATTTACATATTTATTTTTTCCATTTTTTACTTAGTTTTAACATTTTATTATTTTAAATTTCATTCCAGTTTTTTATATTTTAAACGGTTTTAATTATATTCCCCCCTCATTTTATAAAATTTAAATATCTTATTTTCTATTTCTTTTTATTGGTAAAGTATAATTTGAACTCTTTGGATGTTTTCAAATTTTATATATTTATTTGATATTTTTGGATTCTTTCTTAGATTGTATATATTCTGGTGTTAAAAAATACCCTCACAAAAGTTTCTAACTAGTTTTGATATTTTATAATTATTAAAATTTATATTAAGTTTTCTTTACAACTTTCCTACATTTTAAACTATTTTAAACGTATTCATTTTTACTTTCGAGATTTGTATTTCAAATTTACTAGCTTGTTTTACATTTTCCTGGTTTATTTTTAGAGTTTTTAAAATCTAATTTACAAGGTTTCAACTTTTATAATGCTTGTCTAATTTTTAAGCAAATATTTACTTTTTAAAACTTTTATTATTTTTTCAATTATTATGATCTCTTGAGTTTTTTTAATGAATTTTACATTTTTTCTATCTAGAGCTAATGTTGAGTGATTGGTGAATTTGCAATCATTTATCCCTAAGAGATAGCATCTCATTAGTCCTGAGTGTACTTGCATTAGCAAAAAATAGTACGGACTAGCAGAGATCAACCAAATTGCCTCCGTGTTAATACTCCATATAGTCTATTTTTAAAAACAAAGTATGGAGTAGTCTATTTTTGAAAGAAATTTTCACAAGTGAAAAAAAGTGATATTACTTTCACTTTTAGTCTATGATGGAGTATATGGCCCGGGAACCCCCGGCCCACAGACTCCTACTACACCAATAAAGGCCCAACCGGCCCAGGAAGCACAACAGGCCCAAATTACGGCGCCCCAAGCACTTAGCAGCCCACAGCGCACACTGGGGTGCCTTCGGCCCCAAGCCGAAGGCTCAAACCGCTCACAGAACGGGTTTTTCAAGCAAACTAAGAAACTGGGAGAAAACAGCAAAAAACAGCAGCCCTCGGCACCTAGAGCCCTCGGCACTGGTGTGCCCTCGGCAACAGAGAGCCTTCGGCACTAGTGTGCCCGAAGGCACCTTACTCGACAGGATCTTCCCTCCACGCGCATCTGGGTCACCGTACCAAGTACAGCGTCCCATCCAACAACCGCATTAAATGCGGCCACATGCGGTTGCCAGCGCCAACCAGTTGAGGTGACCTTTCGGCCAATGGACGCTTGACACGTGTCCCTGTCCAGCACTTATTGTTACTATAAATAGCACCCCATTTCCCCATTTGTAACCACGCTGAAAACGCTCCACACTTTGCAATATACTTTCTCTCTCTATACTTATTTGCTCTGACTTCTCTCTTGTTAATTCCCCATAACAACCCCTCGGATAAGCTACCCCCCGGGTACACAATCCATCATTTGGTGCTCTCGTTGAGAGCCGAACAATCAAGTAAGAAACCCTCCCCCTCCGCCAAACACTAGCCCTCTACCAAAATGGTGAGAACAACACGTGCCAACTCCAAAAACGTAGAAGACAAGAACCTGGCCCTCGGCGACGTCAACGCCCCCGAAGCCTCTCACAGGGCTCCCGAGGGCGGTGTCATCGCTGAGCTGGAACAGGCGGCTGTCGACCTACGCCTTCAGATCCAGCAGAATGCCCCCGATGCCCGCCTCGGCATCGAGGCCAAGAAGAAGAACCGGAGCGATGACCAAGTCAGCCCCCCGGTCCTCACCATCGACGTTCATTCGGCGCTCTCCGCCTTCATCCAGACGCTCACTCAGAACCCGGGTGCCTTCGACGCCCTGGCTCCGGCTCAACCCCAGGTTGGGGAGAACATCACGCTTCCCCCTCTGCCACACCCCTTCGGAAACCCCATCCCTCGGATTGGGAATGACGAAGGGGTAGTGGCCCAAGATACGGCCTCCCAGGAAGTTCAGTCCCGGGACCGCCACAATGACAACAGAGAAAGGCCCCGCACTTCCTCCCTCAACCGGCTCGGAGGGGGGCAAGACCGCCGAGGGGTCCAAGACCGCCTCGGAGGAAAGGCACTCCAAAGGCCCCATGAAAGCGGAGAGTCTGTCTCGAGGGCAGACGAGGAGCGTCCCCCTCGGGACAAAGGCAAGGCACCCCTTCATGCCGACGATGCTCGCCACCAAATCAACCAGGCCCACTCGGACCGGGTTCGTTCACAGGGGGCAGAGGCCCTCCCGAAGGATCCCCGGGAGGCGTCGCACGAGGAAGCACTTCTCCCACCTCCTAACCATACGCCAGAAGAAGGATGAGACCCTTCAGGACTTCCTGGAGCGCTGGAGAACGGAAGCCGACAAAGTCGACGGTGCTGACGACGGGACCCTCCTGGCCCTCCTACAAACCGTCCTCCGCATCGACAACTTTTCAAGGAGCCTCATCATTGAACCCCCCCGCGACTACATAAGGGCCCTGCAGCGGGGGGACCGATATGCCGAGGCCGAGGAGGTGGAGAAATACCACCAGCATCCAGATCAGCAACCCCCGAAGGCTGACCACAAGAACAACCGGGGGCTCCTCCAAACCAACCCAAGGCTTCAGGACCCTCTGATGACCGCCCTCGGCAAGGCCAAGCCAATCCCGGTGGAGGTTATAAGAACAACCCTAAGACTTGGGCACAACCCATTCTCCTGGACCGTCCCCGGACACCATTGACGCACCCCGGCAGCGTCATCCTTGATTTTGCCGAGGAGAGGGGCCTCGTTGAGCGCGATTCTCGCGCACCCCCGGAGGTACATGCTATCAACCCTCAGTTCCCCTACTGTCGTTTCCATCGACATCAGGGGCACAGAACCGATGACTGCCATCAGCTAAAGACGGCCATTGAGAGATTGATACAAGCGGGCCATCTGTCCCAATTTATCCAGAGCCCTCGGCAGGAGGGACCTTCTCATCAGGGACCTCCCCGAGGGCACCACACGAAGGGGAACGCTTGGGTGAACCCGAACACCATCCCCCTCGGCAAGAAGAGGGAGATCGGAAACTTGGAGGAGGAAGAGGAGGAGTACCCCCACCACCAGGAGAAAAAATGCCACATCTTCATGATCACCGGTGGCAATACAGGGGGCGATTCCAACAGCCAGCGGAAAAAGTGGGCTCAATCGCTTTACGTGGGGGAAGTCACTCATATGCCCCCGGTAAAGCGGCTGAGAGAGGAACCCATCACCTTCACCA